CCGGGAGACGCAGGGGAAGCGCGGGGCCAGGGTGAGTGAGAGTCCGGCCTGGCCCCAAGCAGGCAGGACTCAGTCGGGCGGTAGGAGAGTAGGGGGGCAGCCCGCGGGGCCAGGCGGCGGCTGTTCTCCCCCCCCGGGCAGCGGGACTCGGGAGCAGCCGCGGCTGCAGCTCCCACTGCCGCGGGGGGAGGAAGCAGCCGATGGCCAAGCTCGGCGGCTGCGGCTCTGACGCCCGGGCCCGAACCCGGGCCTGCTGCGGGGACCCAGCAGTGCACACGCTGCGCCCAGCCCCTGGCCAGTCACGTCTGGGCTGGCTGCCTAGCTGCTGCAATCCCACGGCGGCCCCGGAGTGGGGGCAGCAGGCCCCAGCCCCCCCGTCCCGCTCGGGTCCTGCAGGGGAACGAATGGGGCTGGGCTATCGATGCCTCCGCCCTGGGGCAGCCCCAGGATAGCACCAGCTGGGCAGCCAGCCCAGACGTGACTGGCCAGGGGCTGGGCGCAGCGTGCGCGCTGCTGGGTCCCCGCTGCAGGCCCGGGCTCGGGGGGTTCGGGCCCGGGCGCCAGAGCCGCAACCGCCGAGCTTGGCCATCGGCCGCTTCCTCCCCCCGCGGCAGTGGGAGCTGCAGCAGCGGCTGCTCCCGAGTCCCGCTGCCCAGGGGGGGAGAACAGCCGCCGCCTGGCCCCGCGGGCCGCCCCCCTCCTCTCCCTCCAGTACCGCCCGACTGAGTCCTGCCTACGCTCAGGGCCAGGCCGGACTCTCACTCACCCCGGCACCGTGCTCCCCCTGCGTCTCCGGGGCCCGCTCCAGCGCTTGCGGAGGGAGGAGGAAGGGCGAGCCTGGGGAAGAGGCGGGGATTCGGGGAAGGAGCCAATGGAAGGAGGGGGGGCACGAGCACTTCCGGGCTCTGGAGTATTTGCTTGTTTGTCCAGTGTCCCGACCTAACATTGGTTGGGACGCGGGACAAACAAGGAAATATCGAGACAGTCCCGATAAAATTGGGACGTCTGGTCACCCTACCCTACGTGGTTCTCAACCCAGACATTGTTTTACCAGGGCTGGCCTTACCATGAGGCGAACTGAGGCGGCTGCCTAAGGTGCCAGACTGTGTGTTGGGGGGGGGTGTCGCACCACTAGGACGCAGAGTGTAGAAAATTGTGTCTGCTGCTGGTGCATATATATTCTCTCTGCTCTAGATGCACAGAGATGGTGGAGTGCTGTGCTGGAGGAAGGAGGGCACAAGAGACATAACAGGCAGGCAGGAGAAAAGGGGAGAGGGAATAACAGAAAGCAGCAGGAGCTGCAGGGAGAGAGAGGAGGAGGAGCCTCTTATGTACCTCTCTAGCACCCCCAGGAGCCTGGACTGATTCACACCAGCTTCTCAGGGAGCTTCCTGTTTCCTGATGCTTCCCTGAACCCACTTGAGGAGAACAGGCAATCAACTGAAGTAGTAGGAGCCAGTTAGGCCCTTAAGACGCTGATATCTTCCCTCACTCAGGCCCTGCTACCAGCCTGCTTATTTGTCCCCTTCAATTGAGTATGGACAGCCACTATAGCTGGCACAGAACAACAGTCATGAGTGAAAGAAGAAAATGCTCCTCTGGGGCAGCATTCAGAAACAGATAGAAAGCAAAGGAAGCTTTTCTATCTAAGCAGGAAGGAGCTCTCCTGAGATACATAGACACAAATGTTCACGGTGAGCCTTCCGGCCCCAGGGAGGATGTGAGTGGTGAGGAGATGCCTGATCTTCCAGTTAGTCAGAGTGCAGGTGACCTGGCAGCTACTGCAGCATCCATATCTCCATCTCAAATGGATGTAACCATGCACATTCCTGAAGAAAAGTGTAGATCAGAGAAGAGTGTGGTGGAGGCGCAAGAAACAGCTGCTGCTGAGTTTAGTTCCTTAAGTCTAGATGATCCAGGACTGTGGACCCACTTGAGCAATAGCCTGAAGGACTTCCTTGTACTGCATGGGCCACAGCAAGTGAAAAACCTCATGCTCCCCAAAGACAATAATAGAAGTTTCCATCCAACACATAACTGGCATGAAATCCCCAATGGTGACAAAGTGGAGAGGCCATGGCTTATGTACTCAAAACCCCAGAATGCTGCATACTGTTTTTGTTGCGAACTCTTCCAGTCTAATGGTCCAGCCACATTGAGTTCTACAGGAACAAAGGACTGGAAAAATCTGGCTAGAAATCTGGCATGCCATGAGAAGGCAGCAAATCACCAGAGAGCAGTCCATAGGTGGAAAGAGCTTGAGATGAGACTAAGGTTAAAGGCCATCATAGATGATCAGCATCAAGAGAAGATTGCATCAGAGTCTCTTTACTGGCAAAATGTTCTGAAAAGGCTCATTGCCATTGTGAGAATGCTTGCTACCCAAAACCTAGTACTGCATGGAACTTCAGATCAGCTGTATGTGCCAAACAATGGAAACTTCCTTAAAACTGTGGAGCTGATGGCTGAGTTTGACGCTGTACTCCAGGAGCATCTAAGAAGAGTCACCATCCAAGAAATGTACACACACCACTACCTTGGAAAAACCATTCAAAATGAGATCACACAGTTACTGGCAACAAAAGTCAAACAGAAGATTGTGGCAGATCTGAAGTCAGCAAGATATTACTCTGTTATTCTGGACTGCACACCTGACATCAGCCATACGGAACAAATGACTTTAATGGTGCATTTTGTAACAACAACAGAACCTAGTGACAATGTCCCTGCAATGGTGACTGTCAGAGAGCATTTTCTAGAACTTATTGACATTGATGATACTACAGGAGTTGGTATGACAAACGTGCTTCTTAAAAAGCTGGAAGATACGGGAATTGCGATAGCTGACATGAGAGGTCAGAGCTACGATAATGGTGCCAACATGAGCGGAAAGAACAGAGGAGTGCAGACACGGATCCGAGAGTTAAACCCTCAAGCACTTTTTTGTCCCGTGCAGTTCTCATTCATTGAACTTGGTGGTCAGTGAGGCAGCATCAGCTTCTAGCGAGGCTGCTGAATTTTTTAAATGTAATTCAAAGCATCTATGTATTTTTCTCTGCATCAACTCATCGATGGCAAATTTTAAAGCAACATCTGGGAACATCCTCTCTGACACTGAAACCACTGAGTGCCACACGACGGGAAAGTCAAGTGGAGGCGATAAAGCCTATCAAACACCAAATTGGGAAGATAGATGATGCCATAGTTGCCATTATGGAGGATAATGCTATGACAGGAACTGTTTGTGGAAGACCAGTGGCAGAGGGAAATGGAATCACCAGAAACATACATAACTTCACATTTCTGTGTGGCTTACTGTTGTGGCATGACATACTGTTTGAAATAAATGTTGTAAGCAAGAGACTCCAAGGTGTTGACCTTGATATATCTGGAGCAATGGAACAACTGGACAAAGCAAAGTCATACCTACAGTCTTACCGGTCAGATGAGGGATTTCAAAACGTTCTGAAGAGTGCACAGAAGTTAGCAGAGGAACTTCACACTGAAGCTATTTTCCCACCCATTCAAGAATACAAGAGTCACCGAAGAAGACAACATTTTGATTACGAGGCACAGGATAATCCCATAAGAGACCCCAAATAACAATTCAAAGTTGAATTCTTTAACCAGGTGCTAGATTGTGCAATGCAGTCAGTTGAAGAACGTTTCGTGCAGCTCAAGGAACACAGCAGTATATTTGGGATGTTGTTAGATATTCCAAAACTCCTCATTATACCTGAAGAAGACCTACACCAGCAATGCAGGGCACTAGAGACAGTGTTGACACATGATGACATGCACGATATTGATGCAAGTGATTTAGGTGATGAACTGAAAGCCCTTTCAAGATACATTTCAGCAGGATCAACTCCAAAGGCTGTTCTAGAATATATGTGCACAAATAAGATGACCACCTTCTTTCCAAATGCTTTTGTTGCTCTGCGCATACTTCTCACACTTCCTGTAACAGCTACCAGTGGAGAATGCAGCTTCTCCAAGCTGAAGTTAATAAAAACACATCTACGCTCCACAATGACACAGGAGAGGCTGGTCGGCCTTGCAACCATCTCAATAGAGCATGAGCTGGCCCAGACTTCCTTCAGCAGGAAGCAGTTCATATCTTTGCAACCAAGAAGGCACGGAAAGCACCACTTTGATTATTCAAACAGATAAAAATGCCAGTGTTTACTATGCAGACAAGAAAAGTTAACTTTCAAACACCTGAACAGCAAATGTAAGTATTACTTAAAATTTTTGAACAAGGCATTTTAACTTGTTAGTTCTCCTTTAGTGGGGTAGGTAGCAGAGCAGTACCATGAGAGGAGTAGAACAGGAAGAAGGCAGAATTGAGACCTTTCAAAGTTTTGGCCCAAGCATGGCATGGGGGGAGTCATTTGAGCTCCCCGCCTCAGGTGCCAAAATGTTGTGGGCCGGCCCTGTGTTTTACTCTGAGATGAACTGGGTTTTGTAAGTTTTTTTCTGGAGAAATTACCAACTGGTGCTTAGAAAACAGCTTTGTCTTGTCAAGGAGGGGGGAGAGAAAGGTGAAAATGACAGCCTATGTATGGGTCAAAAGCATAGAGACATCTGGTGACTGCTCTGGATGCGAGAATCACAGGAAGAGCTGAAGGTTTCAATGTGGGCACAAGAGGGCCAGACAACTAACAGGCACAATACATTGTCATGCTGATTTAAATTAAGACCATGGTAAATTTTTCAAAGTGCCTAAGAGCTTGGCTACACAGTGCATTAGTATGCTCCAGCTGGGATGTAAATTCTAGTGCACCCGACTCTACCATGCAGTAACTGTCCATGTGGACCGTGCTGGCCCGCACTAAAAGTTCTTTAATGCACACTGACATAGTCCTGGAAATACTCACTACATCAATGGGCACTAAAGAACTTTTAGACACTAACGAACTTTTAGTGCAGGCCCTCAGGGTCATAAGTACATAAGAACGGCCATACGGGGTCAGACAATAGTCCATCTAGCCCAGTATCCTGTCTTCCAACAGTGGCTGGTGCCAGATGTTTCAGAGGGAATGAACAGAACAGGGCAATTTATCGAATGATCCATCCCCTGTTGTTCAGTCCCAGCTTCCAGCAGTCAGAGGTTTAGGGACACCTGGAGCATGGGGTTACATCCCTGACCATCTTGGCTAACAACCATTGATGGACCTATTTTCTATGAATTTATCTAGTTTTTTTTAACCCAGTTATACTTTTGGCCTTCACAGCATCCCCTGGCAACAAATTCCACAGGTTGACTATGCACTGTTTGAAGAAGTACTTCCTTTTGTTTGTTTTAAACCAACTGACTATTAATTTTATTGAGTGACCCCTGGTTCTTGTGTTATGTGAAGGGGTAAATAATGGACAGTGAGTGCACGACATACTGGTGTGCACTGGAATTTACACCCCAGTTGGTGCGCACTAATGCACGGTGTAAAAGACAAGCCCTAAGTGACTTTTTGGGGGCATGGATCAGTGTTCACACTGCACTCCCCATCAGTACCTGGCCTGAGCTGGGAAGCTAATGATCCAACCAGCGGACCAAATTCGGTGAAGAATCCCAGTCATGTGCTACATGAAGCATGTTGTGCATATGATAAGAAGTAGTACTCATTTTTGAAAATGGAATTTAGCTAGTTTTGCAAATGCTACCTCTTATATACCCTAACAAACCATTGACAGGAATCTCAGAAGCTGAGGAGAATGTGGGCAGATAATCTGGGCTCAAAGGGAAGGGTAGAGGTAGGTGTTCATAGGTATTGTACAGATAGAAGGGCAGAAATAGTGGTATTACTTCCACAGCAGAATCTCAAGAGAAGGGTACCCCACAAACTCCAGAGTGATGGGAAGCAGAAGGAACCAGCCACTGGAAGATGTAACAAACCCTTTCCCATACAGCCTGTTATTTCATCTCACCGTTTCTTCTAAAAATATACTCCTAGATTCCAAGAGTCATCTCCAACCCACCCATAGAAAGCCATGGGCCACCCATCTCATCAAAGCTGCACTACCACACTATCAGAATTGTGACTGTTTTCAGCCTACACTCTCAGATACTCATTTAGCTTAAAGCAAGATCCATCAGATTTCTCCAGATGGGTATGTGCTCTGCACTCCTCCAGTGACATCTGTGAAAGTCTCCTCTCTATTTGGGAGTCACTACCTTATTTATTCCTGTATATGATCATACATTATTTTATAGCACCCAGGAGTATGCTAGGTGCACACTGCCTTGAAACACAAAATTCATTCCAACAGACTTGGACATAGGCATTATAAATATCAACAGAATTAGAGAACTCTAATAAATCAAAAGCATTAACCTAAATACAATATACGCTAAATTCCAAACTCTGTATCCTGGCCTCCCATGTGATCTGATCATCCTCACATTCGCCCTATCCTTTCCTTGTCCAAGCCCCCATGTTCTCTCCTTCTGCCATCCTGATCTTTACTTAGATTATCTTCTCCAATCACTATTTGCTATCACAAAGATAAAACCTGTGATTTAATCATTCCAGCAGGTTGGCCCACTAGTTTGGGAATCTTTTTTACTCTTTGCTCACAGGCTGAAATTTAAATTGTTTCTCTTGCCCTCAGAATTAAATTCCAATTATAGTTTCTGGAAAGGATTTGAGAGCAGTTCTGTAATCCTCAGCAGGGAGCGCTGATTAATCCAGTAATCATGGGTGTGTTTGTTAGCTGAAAATAGGCAGAAGGAAGTGTAATTATACCATTTTCAGCCTTCAGCCCCTCCAAGGCTGCAGTGGGTAGGAGTAAAGTCCTCTTCTCATCCTCCTGCTCCACCACATTTTTCTTCGGAGGTATTTCATTCTGCTCAGAGACTGGCTGAAGAGAAGAAAGACAGAAAGTTACCAATAGTTTTCCCACAGGTATTAGCCCTCGTTCTTTCAGTTACACTTTCGACAAATCCATTAGTTACTTCTAAATTCCCCCGACTGACCCATACTAGTTTACTCCCTTTGCAGGCAGTTTCATAAAACATCTGCCCAGACTGGAGAAGTTTGCAAACAGACCCTGTATTAACCTTCTCAGCCAATTTGATCAAGAGAAGGTATTTCCATATTCTGCACTATCTTTTTGATTCTTAGGATATGAGAGAGTTTTAGGTTACAATTACCTTTAGAGATTGTACCTGCTCCTCTGATTGAGAGACCTGCATCACTAGTTCAGACTTTAACAATTTTAGCTCAGTCTGGCAATGGACGAACTCCTCAGATTTTTGCATGAGCTCATCTAAAAGAAAAAGTTAAACATAAGTATACACATCTCTGCTTGTGTGTCTGAGTCGATCTACTTTAGATGTATGCACACTGGAATATGGAACCTTTCACCTCTCAGTCACTGCTTCTACTCTGGCCCCAACCGGTAGCTGCAGGAAGTCCATATCACCTGACAGTTCTATGTGAAATAAATGAATCTAGTTCCAGTTCTTAGTGGATATGAGAGACCATCACAGAAAATACCACAATAGTTTGCCAACCAAAGGATCAGGGAATGCCCTCTCTATAGAGAAGCGCAGGACTGAACAGACAAGGAGATGGAACATTCCTCTTTAGAGGATTTAGACACATTGTCAAGGAAGATTGCAGAGTGGATACAAGTATAAGTCTGTACTATCTAGCTAGACGTTTCACCCACGCTCACTCATTGCCATGGACAGAAGGGAAAATTATGATCATCTTGTCTGATCTCCTGCATAGCAAAAACATTTTTTTCCAATCAAGCAATTCCTGCATCAAGCCCATAATCGCCAGTTGGGCTAAAGTAGATATCTTTAGAAATATATATTTAATCTTGATTTAAAATGATTTCAAGTGATGGGGAATCTAGCACATCCCTAGGTAAGTTGTACCAGCAGTTCATTACCCTCACTGTTAAAATACATACTTCATTTCTAGTCTGAATTTGTCTAGTTTCAATTTACAGCCATGGGATCTTGTTCTGCCCTTGTCTACTAGATGAAAAAGCCCTCTACTATCAGAAATCTTCTCCTAATGTAGGTACCATGCTCATGTCACCCCTTAACTTTTTCTTGGATAAACTAAATAGATTGAGCTTCTCTAGTCTCTCATTGTAAACCAGGTTTTTCTTGGGATGTCACCAATGTGAAATCTAGTCAATTTAAACAATGAGTTAAAAGTAGTTTCAAGTATTATCCATCTCCCTCAGTCCCACTGCCATTTTTGTTGTTTTAGCATTACATTTTCCCATATTTCCAAAAAGAGTAACTGACTGTTCCAGGAAAACAATAAAACTGACTACACAAAATAAAAACATTGGAAAAAAAGAGATTTTTTTCTCCCTCTAATCTCTGTTATAAATCACCTTAAATTGTCAGCTGCAACAATTGTCCATTAAATACTTTCAGAGAGAAGAGGGATTGATAAGTTAAGGATATCCTTTAAATCATTTTTATCAAATTAATATGCAAACATCACTAAAATTTGAAAATAACTACAGCTCTGAAAGGCTGAAACGAGACTAAGGATTCCCATTAGCCTGGGAGCCAGGAAAGGTTTATTCTTCCTCTTGTCATATAAGATATTACCCGACCTTTGCTAGAGAATTGCCATTAAAAAAAGCACACCAATCGGAACCACACAGAGAGGCTCCCGAGGTGCTGACTCGATCCAATTGCTACGCTTGCTGACCTTGCAGGTGTTGTATGGTAGCAGAGTTTTCAGTAGACTGCACCAGCAGCCCATCAATATCCCGCAGCAGCTGATCATTCTGAGCTATGAGGGCATCGTGGCTAGTTCGCAGCTCTTGCTCAGCCATCTGGAGGCAAGCAATATGCAGCTTTTGCTCTTCTACCTCCAGCTTGTGTTTCTGGTCCTGAGCTCTACATTCAGATTCCAGTTCAGCCCGAGTTCTTCCTGCCTGCTCCAGCTGCTCTGAGAGATACTGCACCTCCTCCTGTAAGCGATGGAAGAACAGCTTCTTCTCAGCCAATTCCAGCTCCATCTTCTCCACGAGGCTTCGAGACTCCTCTCTCTCTGCATCCAACATGTTCTTTAAGGAGCTCAGCTCTGCCTCCATCCTCTGACACTGGTCCAAGAGAGTCTGGAAAAGGAGATGGGGAGGGACTCAACCAGAAGGGAAAACAAATTGATTCCTGCTTCAGTCCCTAAGGCACTGGGCAAAAATGGGCCCATGCTAAGTACACAACTTAAACAAGAGGCAATTTCAACTAGCCAAGTGACAAGACATGAGAGGAAAAGAACAACACATGATGGGGATTTCTAAACCTCCACAGGAAGAAACACTGCTGAGACACATCAGAACTCTGAACTAGCGTGAAGAAAAAGAGAAATTGTAAGCTGGAATTAACATCCAACACATTCTCCTTCTAGGACACTCCAGCACAGAGAACATAATCTCTGTTTAAACAGAAAGGCTAGATAATTGCTTGCTTAGAATTGCTGTTCTCTGCAGATATAAGTGCAACCAATTCCCAGCCCTAGCAAAAAGTCAGGTGGAAACAACTCAAAAATCAAAGTTCTAAGGCATTCGGGGCAGCAGGAGTGATTCTTGCTTGCCCTGACTCCCAAGCACCAGACTAGCATGACTGGCACTGCAATGACCTTTGTATCACAAATTCCAGCTCCTTTGGCGTGAGAGGTAGGCATTGCATAGGTACAGGTTTGTCAGTGAGGAAACATTGGGAGACATAACCTACTCTCAGACAGTAGGGCCAATGTACTACTCAGAGAGCTCAGCCCCCACAGTTCTGTGAACAACTCTGCCCCAGCAGGAACAAGAACCTTCCACACACCTCCCTTAAATTTAGGATGACTTGGATGAATGGGAAGGAGGGGACTGAACTGGTGGAAGCAAACAAAATCACTTTCTCTCTCCACGAAGTTTCCCTTGCCTGAAATATCATTATCCTACCAGTGCTTCAGGAAAAAAACATGATAGAGGAGAACTGAATTTCTAATGTAAAAACTGTGCAAAACCAATCCTTTCCGGCCTCTTTAAAAGAAAAGCACAATGGCACAAAAAGCATTTTTTTCCTTTTTGCGTTACTTTAATTTTGTCCCCTAAATTACATAATAAAGACACACAGACTGCAAATCCTATATTAGTCAAACACCTTTCACACACTGCAAGAGCCACTAAAATAGGCAATAACCCTATCCACCTTCTTAAATCTTTAAGAAAGTAGAAAGAAACTGGCTCAGCTCTGAGTCAGGTAAGCACTTACATGCTTGAGTTTGAGGCAGTTCACTTATGAGCCAGTCTCTTTCTAGTCCCCCAAAACTTTAAGATGAATAAAGGTCAGATCCTACCTGCTACTGGAGTTCCTATAAGCTTCCCATGGCTGGCAGGAGAAGCTGGAAGTGGCCAAATCCTGCACAGTTCCTAAAAACTGTTTAAAAAAAAAAAAACCATGGAGGTGGTAATATTACATATTCCCCAAAAGCCCCAGCGCATTCATAACAAGAATTGGTGTTGCTCAAAATATTGGGACCTCCGAGTTCAAAGCCCAGTCAGCTGGTGACATTGGAGGAGACAATGTTAGAGAAAAGGATGCTTTTGCCTGGAACTAGACATTCTGAGGATTCTACAGCAAGCATAAAAATGAGTCAGGTGGCCCCATACCCGAAGGTAACAGGACTCAACAACTCAGTCACAGAGCTGTGCCAGCAATTCTGGTCAGAAAAGATTGCTAATTAAGGCACTAAGGGTCACCACACCCCCAATGCAGCGCCAAAACCAAAAATGCACTCTCTTCAGGAGCTGGCAGCTTTGAACTTTGAGCTCAAGGAATTCTCAGCTTCTCTCATGCTAAAGACATGGCCCCTGTAGTAGGGAGCTATGTCAGGTGCTAGGCTTTTGACGAGACAATTGCACCTGTTAACAGTAAAGGAACACAAGAGAATAGAGCACGGCTATAGTACATTGAAAGCATGAGGAGGTACCTTGTTCTGTTCTTCCGCACCATATAACTCCCGCTGCAGCAGTTCCACCACCTGAGTTCGTCCTAGCAGAGCCGCTTCCTGTTCCTCCAGCTTTCTCTGCAGTGTCCTCAGGTTCTATGTGAGACACACAAAGTGCTGCATCATCTACATCAGAAGCTGAGAGGACAGTAGCAGCCCAAAGCACAGGAGGGCTAATTACACAGGAGGATCCCATCCCAGCCATACCCCAACTCTATGTATCTTAGGTACTTATATAGCTCCCATTACTTTAGTATCTGAGCACTCATACTCGTCAGCGTATTTATCCTGCCAACACCCCTGTAAGGTAGGGAAATATTATTATTCCCATTTCTACTGACCCGGAACTGAGGCACAGAGACACTAGTGATTTACCCCATAGTCACACAGGAAGTCTGTGATAGAGCAGGGAACTGAACCCAGGTTTCCCAAGTCTCAGGATAGCATCCTAAATCACCGAACCACCTTCCTCTCAACTCCCACCGAGTTCCTTTGTTTGCCTGCACACATCCCTGAGTCGCAAATCCCACTCAACTCATGCAATTTCCCCTTCTCGTGTTCTACAAAAAGCAGGGGGCTGTCAAACTCATCAAACACACCTGCTGCATCTCAGCTTCCAGATCTGATCGGGCCACTACCTGGTGTAATTCAGCATGGTGTTGGTGAACCTGCTCTTCTAGGAGAGCATCCTTCTCACGAATCACATCCTGTAGGGAGCTCAGCTGTAAGCCATAGTACATAGCATGAGAAATGTCACTTGGCTAACTGAGAAACAAGGTAGAAATTCCAAAGACAGTACAAAGGATTGAGGCCCATTCTGGGGGTGTCAGGCACACAGACCATCAGGAGTTTTTCATCCTACTTTTTGTGGCGTGTGTTACGTCTGAGAATAGATTTGAACTAGAAGCCAAGATGTTCTGAGTAGTACAAGCCTCTGTGATAGCCATGCCAACTCAAAGAGATGATTTCACATATGCTTACATATTTACTGACAACATTTCAGACTCTGGAAGTGCAAAAAGTGCAGATTACATTTTACATATACCCAGAGTCTAGAAAGCTACAATTTCCATGCAATTACAGAAGCATACAGTTTCTGTTGTTGGACTTGTGTTGAATGTCACAATCCATCATTTTAGTCATCAAAATCAAAAGCTTGCAAGTCTAGCTAATATTGTAAAGATTGGTATTAAAAGGCACTATATAAAACAACCTAACAAAACATCACAGTGCTCACTCCCCTAGTTGGGACAACAGTCTTCTAACTTACTTTGCGATTTCTTACTCACCTTTCACTATGAAGTCACTGATTGTTACCAGCAGACAGTAAATATATCAATGGCTAGAAATCCATCTCCATACCTGGGCTGCTTGCTTGGCCTGAGTATCTGTCAGGCTCTCTCTAGTTGCAGCCAGCTGCTCCATCAGGTTCCTGACAGTCTCCTCCTGCTCCTGGAGTTTCTGTCTGAGTGCTTCAGCCTCCTCTCTCTGCTCTTCATTGGTCCTCTGATTATTCTGAAGCCGCAAGTGGAGAGGAGAAATCAGAAAAGTAGATATTAGTGAATTATATTAGACAGTCTCAACCAGAGTGCAGCATGCTGTACTGTTATTAGAATCATAGGGTTAGAAGGGATAGCAAGGGTCATCTAGTATAACCCCCTGCCGAGATTTAGGATTTGTTGTGTCTAAACCATCCAAGACAGATGGCTATACAGCCTCCTTTTGAAACCCTCCAGTGAAGGAGCTTCCACAAACTCCATAGGCAGTCTGTTCCATTGTCCTACTGCTCTTACAGTTAGAAAGTTTTTCCTGAGATTTAATCTAAATCTGCTATGCTCTAGTTTGAACCAACAGCCTCTTGTCATGCCCTCTGTGGCATCAGAGAACAACTTTTCTCCATCTTTTTATGGCAGCCTTTCAAGTATTTGAAGACTGCTATGTCCCCTCCTTAATCTCCTCTTTTCCAAACAAAATATACCCAGTTCCTTCAGCCTTTGCTCATATGGCTTGCACTCCATCCCTTTGATCATCTTTGTCACTCGCCTCTGGATCCTCTCCAGTTTCTCTACATCCTTTCTATACATTGGTGACCAAAAGTGGACACACTACTCCAGCTGAGGCCTACCCAGCGCCGAGCAGAGCAGTACTATCACCTCCCATGATTTGCATTCTATGCCTCGGTTAATGCAACCTAAAATTGCATTTTTTTTTCTTGTAACAGCATCGCACTGTTGACTCATGTTGAGGTTGTGATCTACCACAAGTCCCAGACCCTTCCCAGCAGTGCTACTGCCAATCCAGTTATCGCCCATTCTGTATTTGTGCATTTGATTTTTTCTTCCCTAAGTGTAATACCTTACACATTGGTCTTTGTTGAATTACATTTTGTTTTCTATAGCCCAGTTCTCCAATTTATCAAGATCATTCTGAATTTTAGCTCTATCATCCAAAGTATTGGCAACCCACCCTAGCTTTGTGTCACAGAATCATAGGAAGGCAAGGGACTTCAAGAGATCTTCTAGTCCAGTCCCCTGCACTCAAGGCAGGACTAAGTATTATCTAGTGCTTAACTACCCTAACAGTGAGGAGTATAAAAATATTGCTCAGGCATGCAGGAGTGAAATCAGGAAGGCCAAATCACACTTGGAGTTGCAGCTAGCAAGAGATGTTAAGAGTAACAAGAAGGGTTTCTTCAGGTATGTTAGCAACAAGAAGAAAGTCAAGGAAAATGTGGGACCCTTACTGAATGAGGGAGGCAACCTAGTGACAGAGGATGTGGAAAAAGCTAATGTACTCAATGATTTTTTTGCCTCTGTCTTCACAAACAAGGTCAGCTCCCAGACTGCTGCACTGGGCAGCACAATATGGGGAGAAGGTGACCAGCCCTCTGTGGAGAAAGAAGTGGTTCGGGACTATTTAGAAAAACTGGACGTGCACAAGTCCATGGGGCCGGATGCGCTGCATCCGAGGGTGCTAAAGGAGTTGGCGGATGAGATTACAGAGCCATTAGCCATTATTTTTGAAAACTCATGGCGATCGGGGGAGGTCCCGGATGACTGGAAAAAGGCTAATGTAGTGCCCATCTTTAAAAAAGGGAAGAAGGAGGATCCGGGGAACTACAGGCCAGTCAGCCTCACCTCAGTCCCTGGAAAAATCATGGAGCAGGTCCTCAAGGAATCAATTATGAAACACTTAGAGGAGAGGAAAGTGATCAGGAACAGTCAGGATGGATTCACCAAGGGGAAGTCGTGCCTGACTAACCTAATTGCCTTCTATGATGAGATAACTGGCTCTGTGAATGAGGGGAAAGCAGTGGATGTTATTCCTTGACTTTAGCAAAGCTTTTGATACGGTCTCCCACAGTATTCTTGCTGCCAAGTTAAAGAAGTATGGGCTGGATGAATGGACTGTAAGGTGGATAGAAAGCTGGCTAGATCGTCGGGCTCAACAGGTAGTGATCAATGGCTCCATGTCTAGTTGGCAGCCAGTTTCAAGCAGAGTGCCCCAAGGGTCGGTCCTGGGGCCGGTTTTGTTTAATATCTTTATTAATGATCTGGAGGATGGTGTGGACTGCACTCTCAGCAAGTTTGCCGATGACACTAAACTAGGAGGCGTGGTAGATACACTAGAGGGTAGGGATCGGATACAGAGGGACCTACACAAATTAGAGGATTGGGCCAAAAGAAACCTGATGAGGTTCAACAAGGACAAGTGCAGAGTCCTGCACTTAGGACGGAAGAATCCCATGCACAGCTACAGACTAGGGACCGAATGGCTAGGTAGCAGTTCTGCAGAAAAGGACCTAGGGGTCACAGTGGACGAGAAGCTGGATATGAGTCAACAGTGTGCTCTTGTTGCCAAGAAGGCTAACTGCATTTTGGGCTGTATAAGTAGGGGCATTGCCAGCAGATCGAGGGATGTGATCGTTCCCCTTTATTCAACATTGGTGAGGCCTCATCTGGAGTACTGTGTCCAGTTTTGGGCCCCACACTACAAGAAGGATGTGGAAAAATTGGAAAGAGCCCAGCGGAGGGCAACAAAAATGATTAGGGGTCTGGAGTGCATGACTTATGAGGAGAGGCTGAGGGAACTGGGATTGTTTAGTCTCCAGAAGAGAAGAATGAGGGGGGATTTGATAGCAGCCTACAACTACCTGAAGGGGGGTTCCAAAGAGGATGGAACTCGGCTGTTCTCAATGGTGGCAGATGACAGAACAAGGAGCAATGGTCTCAAGTTGCAGTGGGGGAGGTCCAGGTTGGATATTAGGAAACACTATTTCACTAGGATGGTGGTGAAGCACTGGAAAGCGTTACCTAGGGAGGTGGTGGAGTCTCCTTCCTTGGAGGTTTTTAAGGCCCGGCTTGACAAAGCCCTGGCTGGGATGACTTAGTTGGGAATTGGTCCTGCTTTGAGCAGGGGGTTGGACTAGATGACCTCCTGAGGTCCCTTCCAACCCTGATATTCTATGATTCTATGATTTTCCTAATGACCAAACTAAACTGCCCTAGTTGCAATTTAAGTCCATTGCTTCTTGTCCTATCCTCAAGGTTAAGGAGAACAATCTCTCCCCCTCCTCCTGGTAACAACTTTTCTGTACTTGAAAACTGTTATGTCCACCCTCAGTCTTCTCTTTTCCAGACTAAACAAACCCACTTTTTTCAATCTTTCCTCATAGGCATGTTTTCTAGATCTTTAATAATTTTTGTTGCTCTTCTCTGGACTTTTTCCAATTTGTCTACATCTTTCCTGAAATGTGGCACCCAGAATTGGACACAATACTCCAGTTGAGGCCTAATCAGTGCGGAGTAGAGCGGAAGAATTACTTCTCATGTCTTGCTTACAATACTCCTGCTAATACATCCCAGAATGATGTTTGCTTTTTTTTTTTTTTTGGCACTGTTGACTCATATTTAGCATGCGATCCAATATGATCCTCAGATCCCTTTCTGCAGTACTTCTTCCTAGGCAGTCATTTCCCATTTTGTATGTGTGCAACTGACTGTTCCTTCCTAAGTGGAGTACTTTGCATTTGTCCTTATTGAATTTCATCCTATTTACTTCAGACCATTTCTCCAGTTTGTCCAGATCATTTTGAGTTTTAATCCTCTCCTCCAAAGCACTTGCAACCCCTCCCCAGCTCTGTGCCATTATCTAAATCATTATGTTATTGAATAGATCCGGACCCGAAATGATCCCTGTGGGACCCCCTTGATATCCTCTTCCAGGTTATCTGTGGACCACTGATAACTACTCTCTGGGAATCAGGGTTTGAATTCTCAAGGATTATTTCCCAGAGACCGCCCATACAACTTGGATTCAGCCCCGCGGTGTACGGGGAGATTTTGGCAAACCAGTAAAGTGCCTGAAACCACTATAGCTTATTGCTAAAAGCAGCCTAGTCAGCAATCTCAGCTTGACCAAGGCAGGAGGGGAGGGCGTTTGGGGTGCCACAGAAAGAGCAGCTTGACCCCGCGTCCTACCTTATAAGAATTGTGTTGAAGTTGCTGATACGTGCATTTTAGAAAAGCAGGATGTGCCCCAGGAATGTCTATTGGGGCCTCAAGGCTGCAAACTCTGGAAAAACCCACACCTGGCTAATCAATAATCAGAAGGAACTTCTTGCTTGACCATTGAAACTGCTTACTTAACAAGTTTTCTTTAAGGGACATGTCATTCTATTACTAATGTATAGAAAAGGGGGAAAAGTTTGAGGTAGTTGGACTCCTTTGGACTCTCCCTCTAGATACATCTTGTGGTCCCCACCAGCAGACGGAAGATTTGGCCACCGGAAGCCTGCTGCTGTGTCACTCGAGAGCCACACTCAGCTTTGGTAATTATCAAGGATTGGGGGTGTTTTACTAACCTGTTGAGGATGTGTGTAAGTGCTTGAGACTAAGTAAAGTTTAGCTTTAAGTGAAAGCAGTCTTGTGTTGTCCTGTTTATGCCAGCCATCTATCGGTCGGACGGCTGTGTCTCCTGATTTATTTCCTGACACCACCTCGCACAGAGTAAAAGTTACCAAGAGCTTTGGGTTGAAAGAACCCCGGGTAACAGCGGGAGGTGCCAGGACTCCTGTGGGTTTAAAAATATTTACCGGAACTCTCCTCCGGTGGGTTCCAGCTGAATTTAATCCCTGCTAGGAACAGTTTTCCAACCAGTTATGGACCCACCATATAGTAGCTCCATCTAGGTTGTATTTCCCTAGTTTGTGTATGAGAAGGTCATGTGTGATAGTATCAAAAGCCTTACCAAAGTCAAAATATACCACATCTGCCGCTTCCACAAGGCTTGCTACCCTGTGTCAAAGAAAGCTACTAGGTTGCTTTGATATAATTTGTTCTTGACAAATCCATGCTGTTACCCAGAAGATAATAAGTGTCTGCAAATTGATTGCTTAATTATTTGCTCCATTATCTTTCTTGGTACTGAAGTTAAGCTGACTGGTCTGTAATTCCCCGGGTTGTTCTTATTCCCCTCTTTATAGATTAGGGGTATATTTGCCCTTTTCCAGGCCTCTGGAA